TTCATCAATGTGTCACACCAACACTATAATTACCATTCTGAGGCATTGTCTCCGATCACTTAAGATATCAATGAACCCACCTCATTGTCTAATACCACTATTAGTTTAGATTTTATTTAAATCACTTTAAAACTCATAAAACTTAACTCTAAACCCAAAACCCATGAAATCTCAAACCACCTTGATCTATGATATTTACAATTTGATAAGTGTAGAATCAATATATATGCGACTCCTTTCCTCCTTCTCCACCTACTCGCTGTTGGGTTTTGGAAGAAGGCCTTCATCATCGAAAAATCAAAGGAAATTCAAATTTAAAGTTTTTTCACACAAAAAAATATAGAAACTTTTGGGGACATTTTATAAATTTTAAAATAAAAATGTCCAGACATAACACCATTAAGTATTTAACGACATAGTAACCAAAACAAGAGTAAATCAAAAGTACAACTAGAAAATTGAATATTTTTAAATTTTAGTGACTAAAATAAGAAAAAAATTGTGTGATGAAATTTATAATTTACCCTTTTAAATTCGCATTTATTCATCCCTTAATCATTGGAATGATTGAAAAGTCCAAAGAAGTGAGCCGTCTTCAAGAGCTAAAGGGAAAAAAAACATGGTGACAGAAGATTGATCCGAGAGATCTTCTTGTGTAATACATTATAAATTTTTAATATTTATCGTACATAAATAAATTTTATTTAAGAAAGTAAAATTGATCAAATGTCAAAAATACCGATTGTTGTTTCAAAAAAGTAAAAATACAAAAGCAAACACTAGGTAACAGATTTTTAAATGTTTCATGACTTGTATAAGTGTGATGTTTTGTTTGTCAAACATATGTCTAATATTGTGTTTGGATGCTTTGTATGAAACTTGAGGGCTAATTTGATGTTCTTATTGTGGTTTATAGGTGATTACATGTGCTAAAATGTTGATGTGATGGATTGAAGTCGTGTAGGGATTAAATGTGATTGTTAGGGGTATGATTGAATTAATTTACGTTTACTTTCTAAATTTTCCGAGTTTGAAATTAATATTCTATGAATGAGTATTGATACTCGATGAACAAATAAGGAAATCAGCTTAATAAAACTTCAACGAAATCAGGTATAAAGTGTAGTATATATACAATAAAGATAGACTTGAAGACATAAACGGAATATATAACCATTACAATGAATTATTTCTAATGATTCCAAATTATGCATGAAATATTGCAAAGCATTTCCATCATTCCGTGTTGGTATTATACGAAATCAAATGACTTCTTTATTAGGAAATTGGATACCTTATCTGCCTAATACCCTCCACTATGTGGATATACCATTTTACCAAATCAGACACTTCAAATATATATATATATATATAATCCTTCTCCCATCACTTGGTTGCTCCATCTATCCTTGCTTTTAGTCGTGTCGGAAGCCTTTTCGTTGATTCCGCTTTATATATCTATAACGATTTGGGCTCTGGGACGAATCTCACCCTCCATTGCAAATCGAAGAACGATGACATGGGCGGACAACATCTCGGTTACCGTAACTACTTCGAGTTCAGGTTCCGGCCGAGAATCTTTATGAACACCCTGTTTTACTGCAGCTTTCAGTGGGACGGAACGACGCATTGGTTCGACATATACGTAGAGATGAGGGATAAGGCACTTTGTAGTCAGTGCGTGTGGAATGTAAGGCCCGATGGTCCCTGTTTGACCAATTACGATGTCTGTTTCCCTTGGAATGCTTAATTACTCCCACTAGTTACTCATTAAACCTCTAATTCTCCTGTAATAAATTTCGCACATCTCCCACTGGTGTTGTACATACATAAAATAAAATTATTACCAAGTTAGTTTATCATTTTATTTTGGATAAATGTTGAATTTCAGACAGCTTCTCTGTCTATACAATTTCTCCATAAACCCTATTCTATACAAAGTTTGCCAACAGTGTTTGGCAGCTCTCTATCTTTCTTCTTCAAGGTCTATAAATCTATGGGGCATGAACTTACCTATGTTAAACTGTTATCTCCAATATCGGTTCATTTCATTTAAGCACACCATGGAATTCTCTATACAATTTCAGCAACAGCTCCTTTTTGCACTTTTTTCCACCATAATTATCACCATATTGTGGCCACAATCCCTGTTAAAGGCAACAAGAAACAGCAAAGGAGACCCCCGGAGCCGGAAGGGCATTACCGTTTCTTAGTCATCTTCATCTATAGAACATTTGCAGACATGGCTGACAAGTACAGACCGCTGTGCTCCTTATGGACCGTATTGGCGCAGTATAAAGAAGCTAGCAACGGTTCATCCTCTTGAATCGCCAGCTCGAGTTACTCAAGCATGTTCCCAACACCAAAATCAATAGCTTTATAAAGGAGTTATATGAGCTATCAGTGAAAAACAGAGGTGACGCAGTAATGTGTTATAATATCGGAACGATGATTATCGGCAAACAAATAAACACGATCGAAAAGGAAAAACAAAGAACATCGGGATTTACATGGAAAAGACAAAATTAAAAAACCACGGGTAGGGGAGAAGAATTTCACTAATATGAAGGAAGATAAATATAAGAGGATTTTGGTTAAACCTAAAAGGGAAAAATCACTAGTATTTGTTAGAGTTTGACTCGAATTAGGAAACTCAGTTTGGTTAAAAGTAGAAAACTTTATTAAAGTAAATTTTTATTTTTTTTAGTTTTTTTTTATAATTAAGTATTTATCTCTATAAATAGATACTAAGGGTCAATGTTAAAAATCAAGTTTTTCTTTCACCAAAATATTTTCTTCCTTCATATTAGTGAAATTATTCTCATCTGCCCGTGGTTTTTCCCTTTTGGGTTTTTCACATAAATCCTGATGTTCTTTGCTTTTTCTTTTCGATTGTGTTTATTTATTTCCTGATAATCGTCGTTTCGATATTATATCAAATTGGTATTAGAGCTTCATGTTCAAGATTATGGCAGCAATGAAGTATGTTATTTCGTTGTTAGATCGAAACACCAAGTTCTTGCTATGGCAGGTGAAGATTCGGGATGTTTTTGCGCAGTTAGATCTCGACGATGCAGTATAAGGATTTGATAAGAAGTCGGTAACACAAAATGGAAGAATGAGGAAAAGTGTAAGGATCACAAAGCTCTTTCTCATGTTCGTTTACACTTATCAAATCAAATTTTACAGAATGTGTTGAAGAATAAACAACTGCATCTTTGTGGGCGAAATTAGAGCAACTTTGCATGTATAAATCATTGACCAGAAAGTTGCACCTAAAGCAGTGTCTTTATTCGCTCAAGTTGGCGGAAGGTTCGTCTCTTGAAGAGCACCTGACCACATTCAAGGAAATCATCTCTAATCTAGAGACTTTATAAGTGAAGTATGATCAAGAAGACTTAGGACTGATCCTCATATGTTCGTTGTATCCTTCCTACTCGTCTTTCAGAGATACAATCTTGTATAGTCATGAAAAACTCACTCTTGAAGAAGTTTACAATGGCTTGCACTCGTTTGACAATATGAAACATCTTGTATATGGTTCCGAGCCCTATGCAGATTGGCTAGTGATGCATGAATCGACTAACTCAGACAGTGGGAGAAAAGACGAGCGTTCTTCTGATAATATTGGAAGGGGTAGATCATCTTCCAACCAAGGTAAAACTTGTCACTATTGTAAAAAGAAATGCCATGTCAAATCAGAGTTTTACAAGTTGCAAAATAAAATCAAAAGAGAAACTGAATAGCATAACTCAGAGAAATTTGGTGAGGTCGGTATAGTAGAGGAGTACGATGACTGAGAACTCCTAATTGTGGCTAAAGACAACTTTATAACAAGTGATGAGTGGATACTTGACTCTGGTAGTAGTTTTCATATGAGTTCTAATCGTGACTGGTTTGCGACGTATGAAGATGTATCTACACGTGATGTATTTTTGGGAAATTACGTCTCTTGTAAAGTCGCATGTATTGGCATAATCAAGATTAAGATGTTCGATGGGATTGTTCGAACACTTGGTAACGTGAGACATGTTTCATATTTGAGTAGAAATCTAATTTCGTTAGGTACTCTAGATTCAAAAGGGTACAAATTCTCCAGTGAATGTGAAACTATGAAAATTTGCAAGGACTCTCTTGTTGTGTTGAAAGGGCAGAGAAAAACTATCAAGTTTTATGTTCTACAGGGTTTAACAGTTTTAGATAATACAGTTGGTGTTTCATACACTGTGTCAAATAACATTGTTGAACAAAATAACCATGAGCAAAATAGTTATGTGAAGCATAAAAGAGTTCAATTTCGTGAACATAATAAATTTGAAAATAGAACTATCATTGATGATTGAGATCGTGATGTACATGATATTGCTAGTTGTGAAATATTTTGTGGGCAAAGTTGACACTTATGATAATAATGTCGATGTGAACTCTAAATCCAAGCCTAAAAAAAGCTTGGACTTGATCGATGTCCGTTACTGAAGATTACCCCTTTGAAGGGTGTTGTGGAAGAGGTGGAGAACTTGTTCGTTGAAGTGAAGAATTGTTTTTTGTTGAGTTTGGGTGTCACATCAAATTTGGGTGTTTTGTCTCGAAACCTTTGCACTTTCAGTATTCGTGTGAAGGTAGAGATTTGTTAGAGTTTGACTTGAATTCAAAGTGACACAAATTAATTAATATATAAATATTGGGAAGTAGGAAATCAGTTTGGTTAAAAGTAGAAAACTTTATTATAGTAGATTTCCATTTTATTTAGTTTCCCTTTGTAATCAAGTATCTATCCTTATAAATAGATACTAAGGGTCAGCGTTAGAAAGTAAGTTCTTTTCTTTCACCAAAATCTTTTTGTATTTTCTTCCTTCATATTAGTGAAATTATTCTCTCCTGCCCGTGGTTTTTTACTTCTGGGCTTTCCACGTAAATTCGGGTGTTCTTTGTTTTTTCCTTTTTGTTCGTGTTTATTTGTGTGTCGATAATAATCGTTTCGATATTATAACATAGTGCAAATGAAGGAAAGAATTGGTGACTTAGCAACCAACATCATGTTGCTGGGAAAAAGATATTATGGATCCGAAGGAAGCTGTTACGAGGAATCAAGGCGATGCCAAAAGGCCTTGTGTGAGTTCTTTTTTCTGGAAGGGTTGTTCTTGTTTTCCGATACGGTGCCCTTTCTTGGTTGGCTTGACGTTGTGACGGGAAACATAGGAAAAATAAAGCAGACAGCAAAGGAGTTGTATATTGTACTTGGAAGCTGGGTGAAGGAGCATCGTGAACGGAGGCGCAACGAAGGCATCAAAGGGGACAAAGATTTCATCGATGTCATGTTGTCTATCATGGATGAAAGCAACGTTCCATCTCAAGAGGCTGATGTTACCATTAAAGCAACTTGCCTTGTATGTTAAGTAGAATCATGTAAGTTATAGGCATCACCAGAAAACAGATAACCTTATCAGAATTTGTGATTGCAGAGTCTTGTCTTGGGTGGCATCGATACCAATGTGGTTACGCTTACATGGGCAGTCTCCCTGCTATTGAATAACTGCAACGTGCAAAAGAAGGCCCAAAATGAACTTGACGTCCATGTTGGGAAAAGACCACAAGTGGAAGATTCAGACATAAGCAACTTGGTATACCTGCAAGCCATTATCAAGGAAACAATGTGATTATACCCGGCAGCGCCCATATCAGTACCGAGAGAAGCTATGGAGGAATTTGGCATAAGCCATTAGAGATCATGCCGGAGAGATTCCTCAGTGACCATGTTAACATAGATGTGAGGGGTCAAAATTGCTGTTTGTATCTAGGGAATCTGACAATTAATGGAAGGAAAAGCAAAGTATGCATCTTTCTGAAGAATAAATCATATATATTGCTTCTCAATTGAGTTATATGTTTCTGAAGAATAAATCATATATATTGCTTCTCAATTGAGTTCTATGCAAAGAATCTGTTTTTCCTACATCTAATTTCAACTGGGGTTTCATCAATTTTACAATTTGAAGAAGAAAAAAATCGGTTCATGAGGCGGTTCATGAGGTTGAGCTTGCCTCAATATCCGTAGATGACATCTCGGTGTTAACTAAGCTATTTTCGGTTTCGTTCCACTTAAGAATGTGCCTGCTGTACCTTAAAGCTTCATCAACAGAATCAGGCTCCAAACCGGTAACCATTGAAACGTACAACTTACGATCAGTAAGAGAATTGAACAATCTCTTGAACTTCGTAGCGATGTACTGGAACGCACTCTGCGATAGCGTGGTGTGATTATTTATACTACTGCTGCAGTTGTTGTATTGATTATGGCCAATAACTGGATTGAAGTCGTGGAACCATTCACATCGAGTGAGAGGGACGTGCTCGATCTTTTCCTCAAGCAGGTCATCTTTGTTGAGTAATAGAAGGAAGTTCTTTTTCTCAAAGGTTGGATGGGTGACTATACTTTCAAACAATTGCTTGCTTGCCAACATTTTGTTTGTGAGAACTCCATTACTGTCTAATGAAAACTCATCATAGTCGGTCAACGAGACAGAAAATAGGACAAAATCGACGTCTTCAAACATTTCCAACCATTTACATTTCTCCCCGAGGCTACTGTGATGCAGTCTAATAAGTTGGTACCTGTTGATTCAAAGCAACAAATTCTAAGCATGATAAATGTATATATGAAATCGTCCTATGATGCACCAATTAAGCCCCAAGGAATATTATGAACTGTACATGTTGAATATCTATTCCAAGGATTAAAGTTAACAATTTAAGCATAAGCTAGAATATTACTAACCTTGCTGATGGATCATGCTGATAACCATCAATAGCGATTTCTCGTTCTATTGGGGGGAAAGAGAATTCCATGCAAGAGAGTCCATTCGATGATGAAATTCCCTCGGCATACAAGATATCCATGTCGGACGGCTCATAATCTGTCCTTGAGATCTCAACAGCCTGAGAAGAAGATATCAGAGTTAGTATGAAACCCAAATGCAATTAAGTGAAGAGTGAAATTCTCGCTTTATGTCTGTTACTAAGAAACTAGCAAATTCAGCTTACCCGTTCTAGGAAATAAGTAGCAATTCTAGGCAGCATTTCTAGTTTGTGCCTCCGGTTATACGTGGCCTGAAAGGCTGCATCATTCCACAGCTCCCCAATAAATGGTGCATAGTCACGAGTAGCAGCGGGGAAGATGACTTCCAAATTTCCAGACACCATCACTTGGACGAGCCAATCCGAGAAAGCTTTCAATCTTGGGGAAATGGAATATTTTGTTTTGCCATCAATCTGGCTTGCACCACCTGCTGTCAACAATGAAGCTCAAACTCTATTCCGAAAATATTAAAATTATTCTATGACAACTCCAGGTTTCCTCTAGCCAAAGAGTAACAATGATACAATCAAGTCCATTTGAGGATTATCACAAATGATCTAAGAATTCAAAGAGAGGAAGCATAAAAAGGTTGCTAGAAAATGAATCTATCAAGAATAAACTGTAATGTCAAAAAGGATTAGAAATTCCCAGAGAATAAAGAAAAAAATAAACTTGGTCAAAATGCATACAGAGTAAATCATTATTATTCTACCTGGTGAACCAGATCCTTCAGCAATATGTCTTTTTCTATCCTCCTGAAATATTTCTTCTTCAAATTGTTCTCGCCCCTGAAGCAATATAGCAAGATAGCCATACAAATTGCTTTGGATCATCGATTTGATACTTTGGCGTTCGTTTTCAGAGAAAGAATTATTATACAGGATCTTGGCCTGAAATAAGCAAGCAACAAAGGTTTCATTAGACATCCTATTCTGCACTTCCAGTGTCATAAAGCCAGAGTTCAGTAGTCATAAATATCAAGAAAAAAATCTAAATCATTATTGAAAGTAATGGTGTCAAGAAGCATAAACTAGGATTCATTTACAATCTAAACCACTAATTGCATATTATGAATTTAAAAGTTTATTGTAATAACTCCATTACTCTTGTTCAACTTCAATCATTTAAAAACAGATTGTAGTCAGAGGCATTTATTCATGGCTGAACTGATGAGCTTGATTGGCCAAAGCTCAATGGAAAGTCAGCTTAAGATCCAAGTTCTCAGTCTAAGCTGGTGAAGGATAAAAGGAAGGTATGCATAAAAGAAAATAAGTAACAACTCTATTTACAGACGCCAAAAGTGGGGAAAATGTTAACGGAAATAAGTTTCTATGACCACCAACCGGTATATTACCTGCTTATATATCGTTCTCGAGCCGGACTTTGGATACCCAACTAGAAGAATTTTGGGAAGTACTTGTTTCTCTCGACCTATCTGACTGGCATCCTCCCCAGCAGGATTTACGGTATTAGGAGGAACCGGCAAAGACAAGAGAGCGCAAAAAAGCTTGATCCCCATCTGAAAATAAGGTACATCCATGTTATAACCGGTAAATAGTGCCTATGCAGTATGCATATGCCTATGCCTATGCAAATATACCTTGTTCCATATTGGCCCCTTTATATTATTCTGACCCTCTTCCTGGTAGGATCCATCGGCACTCAGCCAATAGCTAGGATTTCCTTCACAGTGAACTCCTGCTAACTGCAAATATTTAACAGAATGCCGTTTATTGAACTTGTATTATACGTCTATAAAAACATTCATTTAAAAGAACTCGAACAGGTAAAGCACAACAACCTGCAGCATCCACAGCTCTTTTTTAGTAATCACCCGATTATTTACAATTATTCTCGTATTTCCATTGCTAGCATCTCTCTTGATGTGAGCTCCAGCATTTAGTTGGGCAGTAATAATCTGGCATGGCCCATGTCCTTCCTGATTTTCGGCAGAGCAGTAGTTCAATTTTTAATGGAAGAGAATGACTGCTATATCATGTAAAAGAAGAGAAAAAGTTTGTTTATTACCTTTCCCCAGAATCCGGACAATTTATCATACCAATAGAATCCGGGTTTTAGCTTCAAAGGTGGGTTTTGGCAGGTCTGCAAAACCTGCAACTCATCTTGAGTCAATGGCTCTCCATTCACGAATACCTGCTGAGGTGGTAGCTGGTTAGCCTCACAGGCCTTCTCCGACCTCATTACCCTTTGAACTTCCAACTCACCGATCAGCTGCTTGAGAAGCCGAGAACGTTTTCCGAGACTTTCTCGCCTTGACTCATGTATCTTCTTACCTATGCAAGTAATACATTTTCTTCCCTCTGGCATCGACCCCATTGTTCTCAATACACACTTATAACAATACTTAGCATTACAGACAATGCATATCTCTTTCTCTGTAAACCGGTTTCCCTTTAAGCACCTATAACACGACCCCTTTTTGCCGTTCCGTGCAACAGGTTGTTCATCACCGATGATGCTTTCTGTCTCGGTATAGTCGGATTCTTCCACGTCGCATGATTCGGGTTCCCGGAACGTTACAACAGATGGTCTTCTGACATGGCCAGGAGTCTCATTGTTAACATCAGAAATCTCCTGAATTTCATAATTTCCTACTCCACCATGACCATCATCGATTCCCTTACTTAATGAATCCAAACTATGAACAGTGACCGATAATTCATTCGACAAACCGGGATGAACGATGGATTTTCCAGCTGAGCCAGATTTAGAGGCAAATCTTTTGTCTCTGGGTGGTTTCTGGTTCACTGGATTGATCTTGACAATTGGTTGGATAACCGGCAATGGAATATCATTTAAAGAAAAGGAAGAGGAAACTTCAGCAGCCGTCGGGAGGCGGTCAACGTCCAACGGAACCAACTTCGGGATATCAGAAGTGATCGGAGGACCATGGTACTCAATAGCAAAAGAGTATTCAATGCTAATATCATCATCTACAGGAGATGATTTCTCAAAAGGAAGGATTTTTCTTAAAAGAGTAGCCATGATTTCTTTCAAATTCTCAACTCCAAAAATTAACCCACCAATACTAATCCCATAAACTCCCTGATTTATCTCAACAATCCATGAATCAAAACAGCCAACAATCAGAAGAATCAAACTTTAGAACCCATTTTGCTACCAACTCATTCAAACAATCAAAACAAGCTAATATATTTACTTTGAATCCCCAAAAACAAACTGAAAATGACCCCCTTTGGCTTAATGAGCAATAAAGAACAATGAAGATGATGGTGAGTCTTGTCTAACCAGTAAGCTATGGAGACCTGAGGCACGACCGAGTGACATGCTTTTAGTGTTAAAATCATCAATGGTTTTTCCACGTCAATACGCTGAGGAAGAAATTGCCGGGAAACAATGACGGGAAACTGAGGATTGAAAAAGTCAAACATGTGGCCTGGCTGCATCATCAACTACCACCATCACACAGTGTTTATGAACCTTTTGGGTCAATAAATAATTAAGTCAAAGCGGGACCAAAACTGGAGGCTAATTGGTTCTTTGACATTTTGACGCAATTTGGAATTACGTCATCTATATAGTATTTCTTTTAAGTTTGGATGCCGAGAAAATGGACGTAATGCAAAGGAAAATGAAGGAAAATATTTGGTAATAATAAAATTAAAAAAAAAGATAAGGTATAGTATTCATTATTCAACATAGCCCATGAATTATATATTTTCCTACTTTATAGTATTTATTAAAAGTGTATCTAAAAGACATTAAACGTTTAAATATGTTGAATCTTAAATCATTTTATATTTAATATCGATATTGATATCAATTCTATTAAAATTAATCAGTATATATATTACTGTTTTAAACATATTGTTAGGGTTCACATTATAATTTCATTTACAATTAAAATATGAATTCCCAAGTGATATAAATGATATAGTATCATATTCTATTATAAATTTAGGAAACGCGTGCGAAAATTGGATCACGAGTTCAATTTATTCTAGAAGTCATGACTTGTATAGATGGAAGCATTGAATGGGTCATATATATGTTCTTTTTGTTGTAAAAAGTTTAGTCTTAAACACAAACTCTGGATGACTAATCATCAAACCTAATGCTATAAGTGGAAGAATTGAATGGGTCATCATATGTTTCTGACATGTTTTCTTCTTTTATTTTTCTTAATAATTATTTTGCATTTTCTTAATATACTCTTAAGTTTTTAGAACCCGCATTTATAATATTCATTTAGAGTCATTCTTTCGAAATTAAATTATATCGAATCTACAATATTTTAAGATTGAAATGAGCACCAATCTCCAAATTGGGGACGAATGTATAATGTGGGATGAAATTATGAAATTTTAAGTAGAAGAGAATTTACAGAATTTTAAGGGACGAAAATATATTTTCAACAGAAAATATTTAAAATATATAGGAAGTTGGAACTTTTAGGAGACTACTCCACTCGTCTTCCTCTTATAAATGCATTTTCTCTCTTTCTATCAAAATTAAACATTATCCAAAGATTCGTAATTTAAGAATTAGTCTTTTTTAAATAATTATATATTAAATTTTAATTCGATTGACATAATTAATGTTATAAAATTTTAAAAAAATAAATGTATGAGTTATTTTATTAGTTTGGGTCCACATTGTGGCTTTTATGTATGGCCTCTATGAATATGGTGGAATTGTATATTAAGACCCATTATTCTTTGGATCGGCATGGGGCCTCATGTTATACTTTTGTAACCCAAAGAATTTAATTATAAACAATTAGATTTTAATTCACTTCAGTGATAGATCTCGACAATATAGTTTAAAAGAGATTATTTAAATTTTTTAAAAGAAATTGAAATATAGTATAAATTTTTAGTTTTTTGAAGGAGTAAAATTAAAATTTTGAACGAGTAAATGCTATTTTTCTAGAAATTGTTGACTGCGCATTACTACTGGGCAATACCAAATTACAATGTGGAAAAAACAAAAGGGTAAGCTGCAAGGAACATGCCAAATCATCATGCCAGGTGGGAGTTAAGATCATTCTGCTTGTACACGTGGCACAACCGACAGCCATCAAAAGTGCCACACTTTCTCATTCGTTCTTTCCTTGTGATCCTGGTCTGGCTTGTCCCTTGTAAGGAAACCACGCTGGATCTCCTTCAAATCAGGCGCGTGTTGTTCAGACAAGCGCCACACTTTGACGGACTTATCCAGACTACCGCTGTAAACAATCCACTTCCGGTCGGAGACGGTCGACGTCCCGTGATCTTCTCCGACTGCTAAGCATTTTACGGGGCCACCGTGACCTGTTAGGACCGACATGCACGTGTGGATACCTCCTTCTTCTCGCCTCCACACGCATATGGTCTTGTCGGCGGAGCCGCTGAACACCAGATTCCCGGCTGTAGCCAAGCAGAGAACAGCCATTTTATGGCCCCTTAAAGCTCCGGCGTGCGAGAGGGTTTGGTTCCCATGTTCCCAGAAGTTGACGAACCCATCGGACGATCCGCAATACAACGTAGCCGATTCTCGGCTCACGGCCAATGCCGTCACCGCGTTCTCTTGCTTCAACAACAATTGAATCATGGAGTGCTTCGTTCCTTTCTCTAGCAACTCTCGCTTCCAGGCCTTCACCGTCCCATCGGCCGACCCGGTAAACACGAAGCTATCGAAACCGACAACGACGGAGTTTATAGCGTCGTCGTGAGCTTCGTCGACGGATTCCAAGCACTTGAAATTCGATATCCGCCATACTTTTAGGGTTTTATCCCAAGACCCTGAATACATCAGCCCGAGTTCTTCATTCAAGCTCAAGCACGAAACAGCATCGAAATGCTTGATCCGAAGGACGTTCCGTTTCCGGCGAACTTCAATGTAGTTCTTCGGTTTAATGGAGCTTTTGAGGAAATCTGTTAAACTTGGGAAACTACCGTTTCTTTTGATCAAGCCAGGGTTCGAAGACGACAGCTTCCAGCAACGGATTTTACAGTCTTGGTGACCAGTGAATATCCGATCACCCAAGACGATAATGGCCTTGACCAGCCCACTTTTAGCTTTGAAACCAGAAAACTCCTTCAAATTCTTCCACACACGGATGTTCTTGCTATCGGTACCGGTGAATAACATATCACCGGAAGCGGCCAACGAGTAAATCAGGTCATCATCTTTCATGATGGACCCGATAAGTCCAGTTTGGCCGATATCGTTTTTCACCGCAGACGAAGTGAAGTTCGGTGACATCATATAAGGCGAAGCCTCGTCGTCGTGCTGTTGGAATACATCGGGCTGGCCATTGAGGCATTGCTTTCACGTGGCGGGGAGAGTTTATCTTCCTCGCCACCACCAACACCGTGGTTTATTGCGAATAATGTGCTCAGATTGTTCGGTCGGTCTTGGAGTCTAGCCTGCTGCTCCATAAACATTGTTCCACCTTCATCATTTCTCATTTTGATCACAGACACCGAGGATTTTGATAAGAAAAACTGGAATTTTGTAATGGCAAAGATGAATGCAGATTTCTGGGGAGAGAGTATATATAGATGGAGATTAAATTAGTGTTAGGCATATGTGAGGTTCTGGGCTTTGGACACTTGGTGGAATGAGAAGTAGTCATCACGAACAACTAGAACTGGCTATTGCCGGCGATGATGAAATTAATAATGAAATTTCCCTTTTATTTTCACGTGAGTACCTAAATTATCTTCACACGGATCCAAGGATTTTGTTGCATGTGATAATGTATGTGAAAGTATTAGGGGATAAAAGTTTATTTGACAATAAAACTCCATTTTAAGCACCACTCAGAATTATTTAAATATTTTTTCATTTTTTTTAAATATTCAATATCTATCGATTTATAAACGAAGAAAAATTAGTGTACTTCAGTTCAACACCGAGTTTCCTAAATAACATTACAAATGTAAAGAATAACCGAAGATGGGCATGTTTCATCATCTTGATCATCACAATTATAAAAAGAAACTGAGCATGGAGCTTTGCCATGAAAACATATAATAAGAAGAAGAAACTGAGCTAAACCTGTTTTGGAAGATAAAAAAATTGGATGGAATGATGGTGATGAATGATTCAATGGTTGTAGGAAGAAGAAGCATTGTGTTTAATAGTAGTCAGAAAATGTTTCACGGTAATAATATAATCAAAGAAAACTAAATGATTTCTTATGAGAAAGAAGATTTTAACGTATCATATTAGTTTTTTTTAGTAATAGTTAACGATATTAACAAAAACAAATTAAAATTTTAATGAAAAATATTATAAAATTGTCAAACTGATTATGTTCAAACAATGCAATCGTTTTAAAAGTTCAAAGCAATCGGTATCTCATATAATCGTAAAGAAGCTGCTCATTCTATATTTAGCATCTTCAAATCTAACTTTTTAAAGGCGTGTTTTTAATGCATGTGGATGTGGTTAATTGCTAGTATTAGTCTAAAAGTCAACGACATTTGTGTAGAATATTTTTCATATTCTTTTTTCGGTTTATGTTAATATTATTTATTAAATTTAAACTTATTTTTTTTTCTTTTATATCATTTTATAGTAATATCATTTTATGGTTTATATTAAGATTATTTTAGAGATGATAATTGAACGGAATAATGATGTATGTCATTAAATCCACAATTTTATTTAAATAATATTAATCAAATCATTTAACTATTTAAACGATATTAATTAAACCATTTAACTATTTAAATGATATTGTATGTAGTTAAATTCATCACCGCTCCTATGAGACCACAATTTTACCAATTATTGAATGAGTGATTTGAACGGGATGATGATGTATGTAGTTAAATCACACCATCACTCCGATCTGACCATCAATCTTTTAATTTTAACCACTTAGCTATTTAAATGATGCAAATTAAACTATATATCATTAACATTTGACAGAAGAGCTAACTTAGCAATTAATAAAATTGATATTTATATATTTAGTCATCATTACTTACACAATCTATCAACTTAGCGTTGATTGACAAAATTAAAATATTTATTTTCATATTAGAATCCTCCATAATTAAGTAATCACGAGTATAATGTATCCTTATTTTTAATATTTTTAAATTTATAAAGATAAATGCATATATAAGCATAATCTTTATAAGGGAACATTTAAACATAAAATACATAACATGTTCTACAATTTTCAAGCATAAAATATAAAATGTAAAAGAGTTTACAGTTTTAGTATAACACAAAAATACAACTA